ATACTCTTTTAGATCATCTAGATCAAGGACCTAGGTTGGTTCCACTGTTTTCTCAGTAAAGATAGGATTTATATAGCTCTGGTAATATCTTAGATTTAAAGTTGATGACATTTTAAGGTATGTGTACCATACAAGGTATATGAGTTATTGTAGTAGTGCATCTTAAGTGGACTAGGCTTAATGTGGCCTAAAACCATGAAGATATATAGGGTCAGTCACCTCTTGTAATGGATGGTCTTGTTAGCTAGTATTTTTTTTATATTCTTCCATTTGTTCAACTTATTCAAAGCCTATAGAATCTTATTCAACTCTTCTTCAAGCTTTTTTGGGCCTTCTCTATTTTTTCCATACGATTTGCATTTTCCTATTCCATTTGCTTGGCTCGAGCTGTGGTGTTGTATTGATGGTGAATGGGTTGAATTGGGTTTTAAGACGGTGGAGCTGTCTTTTAACCTTATACCACAATTAACATACTCTGTTACTAAATGTATATGCGAAGAAGCTTTCAAAATTAAACTAATTTTTTAAAGAATGAATGTATTGAATAATTGATATAACAAATTATGATTCATAAACACATGAATATACACACAATAATGCATGTATTGATGTTTGTCTCATTATGATGTGGATTGATGCATATGTTACTGATGCTAGAATAAGATATAACACATAACATACAATAACTTAATCAACAAGGATAAAATAACATTTATCATGAAAATGGTATGAATGAAGCTTAAAATGTCCACTCATAGGTCCTAATTATGGTTATATTCTAATGATGGGTAGATATGGCTGTAACCTAAGGTTGGCTTCTTATATGTAAATTATATATTGGGTTAAGTGATTTTGACCGCTAAATGTTCTTAAATTATTCCTTACATCATTATTCATCATAAACTAGTGAGGCATTCTAATTCTCACCCATCACAGGCTATCAACAAAAAAGATTCACTTTGAGTAGGAGTATTTCATTAGTCATTACGAAGATTATCATCTCATAAGAATGTAGGTACTTTACTTTCTCTTAGGAGGGATAGAGCTTGGTTATAGAGCTCATATAATATAAATACATGTGATAGTGTGTGCGAAGAAACATATAATTGTCAACCTCCATAAATTGAATGAGAGACAAAAAAGAAAAACTTTAGTAAATAAATAACATAATTATTACGCTTTAAAACCATTAGACCAAATGATAGGATAAATTTAAAATTTATGGCCTGACTCTCTATACCAATCCTTAGTGGAGTCGCCAAACTGTCATAACATATAGATAAAAAAATCTATAGTTAGACTTAACAAGAAAAGTCACCACCAATCTTTTTTATCTAAGTGTGATTGACCACCTAATGAATCTATCCTTTTAAAGAGCTTCTAAGCTTGACTAAGGATCCCTAAAAGAATATGTTCTAGTTTACTAATCAGAATAGAGTTCGAAAGTTTATTACATATGGGAAAGGTTATAGCACCCCCACATGCCCATCCAAAGGATGGTACCATTTTATTTTAAATTTTAATATTGGAATATTAGAAATAACTTTTAAAATTCTACCAGATTAATTCTTTATTAATCTGGTAAAAGTTTTTAAATATTTTCTTACTTCAAGAATATTAAAGAATCTCATTTATTTTCTTGAAGAGGCTCCGTCGTAAAAAAAAAAATAATCATTAGTTGTTTTTAGTTTTTTTAATTGAAAATATATCTAATTATTTCAACATTTGAGCCAAATTAGAAATATCTTCTCATCTAGAAATTTCTTAGATAATCAACCATTTGCAATTATTAAGAATTTTATCCTTATATTTTATTTTTGATTTTACATGTTTTATTTATAAATTTTTCATCATTTAGGCCAATTTAGAAATATCTTTATTTGATTTCTAAATTTTTCACTATTTGGGTCTATTCAAAAATTCTTTTTTTTTTAATTTTTTATCTTTAGAAAAAATAATATGACAATTATTTTTGAAGTTTCATTTAAATCATTCCACCATTTGGGACAATTTAAAAAAATTTCTCACCTAGATATTTATTAAGAAATTTACTATTTGAAACTTCTAAAAATTTCATTTTTAGATAATTGTTAAATATTTTCAACCTAAAATTTTTTATTTGAAAAATGATACAATTAATTTGTTGAAATTTCATATAAATTATTCTACAATTTGAAATAAATTTAAATAAATTTCTCACCTAGAGATTTCTTAAAAAATTTATTATTTGAAAATTTTAAAAATCTCATCATTAAATAATTGATATTTAATTCCAAAATTTTTATTTTTTTATTTTTTAAATTGAAAATAAATATTAATTATTATTATTGAAAATTTCTCTAAATTATTCCACAATTTGGGATAAATTTAGAAAAAATTCTCACATAAAAATTTTTATAAAAAATTACCATTTGAAATTTTTAAAAATTTCATCATTGGATAATTATTATTTATTCTAAAAAATATTTTTATTTTTATTTTTTATATTCTTCCTAAAATTTAATCATGCAAAAATACTTAAAATAAATAAAAAAAATAAAAAAAATAAAATATAAAAATAGGAAAACAGTTCGGTTGCCAGATAGCTTGGCTCTATAGGAAAAAAAGTTGGAACAACTTAAAAAGCAGCTTGGCTTGGCTCGGCTTGAGACCAAGGCTGGAACGTGTCAAAAAACGGGACAACGCTTCTAGTCGAGTTGGCCTGAATAGAAACACTTAGATCCTGAGGCCGTTTAAATGTCGTTGGGTATAAATAGGCCAAAACTTTCCTTTTTTTTCCATAATTCTTTTTTCCCTTTCTTTCTCCTTTTCCCTTTTCTCTCTCCCTCTCTCTAGAATCAGATAAACTACGGTTGAATATTCACTAGATCCTAAAAAATCTTGTCAGAATTTGGGTTTATTCGTCGAAAATTGGCTAAAAGTTTATCGATTTCTGAAAATTTGAGGCTAAAAACTAGGAACCTCGTTGAAAACTAGGAATCTCGCCAAAAATTCGCCAGAATCTTCAAAAGTCATCAAAAAATTCAATCAGATTCTGAAAATTTTTCAAAAATTTTTAAAATTTTTTTTTAATCCCAAAAACCTTTTAACAAACTTCTGACAGCCTTTCGTAGATGTTTTCTTCTTTGTTTTTTTGTGTATACTCTCTCTGATCTGTGTATTTTTTGTGTTTTTTATACTTAATTCAAGTTTGTATCTATATAAAATAGGCAGAAGAGTTTCTGATTGACCATGAATCTACCGTTGGCAGGATTTTTGTATTATCACAAAACATAATATTTATCCTATATAGATTGAATCCAACTACAATTATGCATTCACGACAAAAATTATTTTTTTTATTTTTAAACTCATTTTTTTTCTTTTTTTCCTTTATTATTACTATTATCCAATTATCTTAACACATAATTTAATAATAAAAGATAAATCAAATAAAAAAATAAAAAATCAGAAATAAACAAAAAACAAATAAAATGAATAATCAAAAAGATAAAACCCAAAATAAATAAATAAATAAAATATAAAATAATGAGTAATTGAGCTTAATAATTTGACTTTATTGAGTTAAATCTAATGTATTTAGCCTGGATCAAACAAAATGTCTACATTTATGATTGAATGAATCGAATAAAGACACATTGTTGCCACTCGTTATGGAGTATGGACCTTTTACCTTATGAAGTTATTGGTTGATCTTCCAGACATTTTTTATGTCAATTTACAATACATAATACATATAATGTCAATGGATAAATTTTTAATTTTATTAATAAAAAAGATATCTAAAAAAATTTTAAGATTTCTAAGAAAATTTTTAATTTTTTTGATTTTAGAGGTATTTAATAAAATAATTGTCCTTAAAAATTTTTTTCTAATTTTTCTGTTGATCTTAAAGGCATAACCGACGTCATTATTTCTTTATTAGTACTATTAAAAGGAAAAAAAAAAAAAAAGGATTACTTGTTTACCGGATTGTTGATTTCTCTGCTCAACCTTTAACCTTTACCCATTTGTTTTGGCAGTTGACTTGCATGAATAAAGGAGGCAATACGTAGCCACCTCCCACTTCAACATGATCTACTAGAAGACTGTGGCAGGAAGTGGGGGAAGCCAATGTTACAGCTACCCATGACTTTGGACCAGAGTCTTTCAATGAGATCGTGACATTGCAGTTGCAGATTCTTTTGGATATGTCCCGAGTGTTGAAGTTACTGCTTGTGCTCAAATGCAAATTGCAAAGTCTATGAACGGATAAGATGCACCAACATCCAGTTTGAAAGATAGAAGCGACAGCCAAATTTTTTGCCATTTGTTGAAAAATTACCCTAGCTACCTATAAATAAAAATATTGGAGCATGTTCAATTGGCAAGGCAAATACGGTTTTATTAAATAGTATTTCTTTTTTTCTTTTCTTCGATGAAGAACAGTCAGCCCTTGTGTTTCAGGGTAGAGAAAGGTTTGCTAGCTCTCTTATCTATAGACTATAGAATGGAATACAATGAATTCATGAAAAACTGGTGAATGGCCATTGTCCAAAGCACCTAAAAAAGGTCAATCCATAGGTGGTGATATGTTTCAATTTCAGGCAAAGATGCTCTGTAGCTAAAATTAAGTGAAAACATCGGTTACTTGTCTCCCTATTACACCTTTATGGTCTAGCTATTTTGATTTACATCATACCATCAAAATCATTATCTGTATTTAACATGTCTCCGTACTATTTCAATGCTTAATTTTTTGGATAAAAATTACCAATACATCAAGCCTAATGTCACGGACTTGGTGCAAGAGTTGTTGTTGCAACATCATTCATGAATTGACTTATCCTCTTTCGTCCTGGGCTGGGCTTTAATATGTTTTAGAGTATTGGGTCGGCTAGTTCTTCCTAAGGATCCTGGCGAAATAATCGTTGCAACTTGATAGATTCCTTAAGCCCAAGAAAAAAGCACAGAAAAGACACGACCAAAAGAAACGACGTCGGTTGAGGAAATTTCCTTCCGCACCAAGTAAGTCTAGATTCTTCTCGAATCGAATGGCTCATAAACAAGCCACATTGGCATCGTCGTAGCCGAATGCTGCTTGCTCGCCCTGTCCGCCTGAATCGTTGCGATTTGGCGAACCCTAAAAGTAACACGTCCAGTTCCGTACACATACGATTGCTTTTTCATCTATCAAATCGAATTCTCAGGTTCGTTGGAATTTTCACTCTTCGAGTTCGACTTCTGTATACTAATTACTTCGTGCCTTTGATTCCCTTATTATTATTTTTATTATCTTCTAGTTTCTTCCATGTGAACCTAGCGTTTTTTAGGATTTGATTTAATGCACATTTTCTTGATAATTATTTGTCTTAAATGATTTTGATCTTATTTAATTTCCTCAAGGTTCTTCGATTTGCTAATAGCCTAAATAGTAAATCCTGTTGCTAATACCCTAAACTTCCTCATTTCTATGAATCTTTCACTCACCGACACGACACAGCCACTCTTTCCTCATCTCACCATGCCGCCGCTCCTGGTGATCTCGTCTTAAGAAGGAGATCTCACCTTCCCGATCTTGTAGTTGTGATGGAAGCTGGTGCTTCTCGGCGAGAAGCATCCCTTTGGCTCCCTTCAGCAAATTCAGCTGTCGTGTTAATCATGTTTATTGGTGTTTATTTGTGTCTTGTCATATAACTCTTACAATAAACATGCCATTTTTGTTTTTAGGATTTTGACACATTTGATAATTCATGTCGTGTGTCATTGTTTATTCACAGATAGCCAGATTGACAGTCTTATTTATACACGTTGCTAGACAACTAACTATTGTTGACTTGATGACTAGACAAATTAACTAGACTGAAAATTGTCTTGTACGTTGGGTGTTGATTTATTGTGATTTCAACATCTTTTGGAGCTAAGTACTTTTTGGCTGATGATAGTATACTTTGGGAATTTGACTTGGGGAAAATTCTGGACGGAAACAATAGTATTACTTTTCTTTTGTTGTTCCAGGTGTTGGTAGCTGTTGAACTGCTATGGCAGATCAGCACTCTAATGAAGGTTCAAGCTCTAATGAAGGTTCAAGTACAGGCAGCTCATCTGTGGAATCTTCTGATTCACTTGTAGAGCTCAGGATCAAGACTTTGGATTCACAGATTTGTAGTTTTGTTGTTGACAAAAATGTAAGCATTTGCTTTTAAGCATGGACATTCTCAAAAATTTCCTGCCGTTTTGTGCATCTTTAATTTTCAAGAAAATTGTGCCTCTACCACCTTTTAACTGATACCTTATTACTTGGATGAATTCAGACACCAGTTTTATTGTTCAAGGAGATAATAGCTAAGGAACTAGGTGTCCCAGTTGGTCAGCAACGGCTGATTTTCAGGGGAAAGGTCTTAAAGGATGATCATCGTCTTTCTGAATATCGTATCCTATTGTTTATGTTGCTAGAGAACTTCATTGCTGTAATTAAGCCAGATATGTTCTATATTAAAAATTTCTAGTACTTTAGTTTGCTACCAGACTAACCATTACTTTCTTAGGTGCTATGTTCATGAGCAGTATTATCCCAACTATATAATTTAAGCATGACCTGTTCATGCATTTAAAGTATTACTAAGCATGCAGAATAGTTCTATATGTGGACTGCTTTTGTTCCTGGAAAAGTATGTAGATTGCTAGTGGTGGTACCTGCTTCTTTAAATTGAGCCATTATGTATTCAAGCTGCTGGTCTAAGTGGCAAACTTTTTTCCCTTCTACTCTCTTTCTATCCCTTTGATACTAGTTGTGGTTAATAGTTATATCGTATTTTCTTATCCTATCAAATTTGCATAATTTGGGCAACCCAACATCTTTCCAAAATGATCACTAACTAAATGGCATAAATGCTTAGCCCATAGCATCAACTATATTACTTCATGGTTGCGTCATGTTAAGTGTAACCAGAATAGGAAATTAGTAATTATAACTATCCAAAAAGGGAATCAAGATGCTCTCTTGTGTACTATCCTCGAAGAGATACAATTATCACAACATCAGGTGCAAGTTTCTGACAGTGTCCTATGCTGTGGTTCACTTTGTACCATATGTCCTTTACTGTTTTTAGATGTTGAGAATGGGCATACATTCCACTTAGTTGAAAGGCAGCCAGCCCAATCACAGCCTTCATCTGATACGAGTTCAGGAGAGACAAATGGAAATAACAGTAATCGAGGTATTGATATGTATCTTGGTGCTTTTCTGGTCTGTGAAATTCAGAGCTTTACTAAAAGCTGCAGCTTTCAAGAGTTAATTGAACAATGAATTGGCAGGAAATGATGTTGGTGCAGGCATTCCTCGTAATCGAGTTGGGCAGATTTCACACAGTGTAGTTCTTGGGACCTTTAATGTTGGAGATCAAGGTGAAGGCATTGTCCCAGACCTTACTCGGGTGAGTACTTTTTCTTTGTTTATTTATGAAGCATTGCAGTTCAGGTTTAAGTCTGTTTCATAATTTGAGTTCTTTAATTGCACTGTAAAATCAATGTGTGTGAAGGGATGTTGATTATTATTTCATTTTTTGTTGCTTGACTTATAGGTTATTGGGGCAGTTTTAAATTCTTTTGGAGTTGGAGGCCAGCCTGCTAATAATGGTACCACTACACAGTCTTCAACCTCTGTGAGTAATGCCTGATTTCAAAATTTTCTTTGCGTAAAGTTGACAAGTTATATTTGACTTTGGGTGGCTTAGAAAAACCACGATTAATTGTCTTCATCACTAGGTGCTAAAGATGCACATATTTCCCCCTAATCTTCCTGTTGGCAAATGCTTCAGCTTTAAGAATATTAATTCCTTGGAGATTTTCTTTTGACTCTAAAGTACTAGTCAATGATTCAAATGTAGCTGGACAGAAACTAGAAAAGAATGTGATGGCTTATGGGGTTTAAGTAGTAACTGATATTGCTTTCAGTTTCTCAAGTGGGTAGTAATATGGAAGGCTTAAAGTAATTAAATGATAAAAATATTACTCTCTTTCAGGCTCCTCAAGGAAATGAAGCTGATGGAGCGCTTGGTGGTGGCGAGAACCAAGCAGGAAATCAAACACAGTCTGCACAATCCTTTCCTGGTCAATCATTTCAAGTTGCTCCTCAAGTTATGCCAATTCCTTTGACAGCAGCCCAAATACCTGTTCCTTCATTTAATTCGGTAGTTCAAATTAATTTATTCATTTTTTAGCAGATTATAATTTGATTGTTATCTAATACCATCATTTCTTTTTCTCCAGCCAATTCCCGATTCTTTAAATACTCTCGCAGACTTTATGAACCGCATGGAGGCACATTCTCCAAATGGTGATAGTACAAAAGGCATTAACTTACACGTTTGTTTGAAAATAGTTGCAACGACTAACTGCTACTGCATAATGTAGGCTATCAGCTGCACTCGTCTACGACTAACGGAAGAGACCAACAAAGGGTAGCATTGCCGTCCGATGCGCGAGGTTTGCCTACACCTGAAGCATTGGGCATTGTTTTGCGGCACGCAGAACAGCTTCTCAGCAGTCATGCTATTGCTGCATTGTCTGTAAGTGCAATGCCTTAGCATGTTTCCTGTGTTTACTCTCTTCTGGATTTTTTTATGCTTTTCATTATGAAATGTTTTATGAAATTGATGTTTGGTTGATATGATATCTGGGATACTAGTTTCTATGTATATTTTGTATCTGTATATTCAGTTTATGCTGAAAGTTATGAAATGTTTTATGAAATTGATGTTTGGGTTGATATGATATCTGGGATACTAATTCTATGTATATTTTGTATCCGTTTATTCAATTTATGCTGAAATCCATGTGCATTTTGATTTGATTTCTCAATCTTCCCTTGTGTGTTCCAAGTACCTGGGAGAAAGAGATAAGTTTGTCCTGAATTCCCACATGCATGCTTCCATCTGGAATAATATGCTTGATTTAGTGTTATATAACATTTTAGGATGTAAAATTACTGGGCTTTCTCTGAGTGAAACTTTTGTATGTTATGAAATTCATAAGTACGTGTAGATTTTAGAAGCTAAATGAGACGTTCTTTTCATTATATGATTTATAAGTTCATAATTTATGTTTTAGTGGCTTTAACGAAGATGAATTATGAAGTTACAATATGTATAATTGAGGATTCTTTGCGCTAAATCAATTTCACATTCCTTTTCTTTCTACCTTTCAAGTTTGAAAACTTTATTATCTGATTCTACGTATCTTTAATTTGCTGCAACTTTTGTAGCATATTGCAGGACGTTTAGAGCAAGAGAGGGATTCTTCTAATCCTACAGTGAGGGGGCAAATTCAAACAGAATCAATGCAAGTAGGTCTTGTAATGCAGCATTTAGGTTCGCTTCTTTTAGAGCTTGGTCGAACCATATTGACGCTGCGGATGGGGCATTCTCCTGTATGGTCCTATAATCTTGTGTCCTTATTCTCCGTTGTCATTGAATAATAACACGTCACTAAAATGATTCATGCAATTCACAGGTCGAATCTTCAGTCAATGCTGGACCTGCAGTTTATATATCTCCTTCAGGGCCGAATCCTATAATGGTTCAGGTGTGCTAAAAATTTGTTCTTATTACATCGAGTTGGTAAAATAACTTCAAAATCCTGTTAATATATCCTATTCATATATGGTAATATTTAAATATCCTGATTATTGGAGCAACTCTGAGCAATTCATTCAAGGATTGTAGATACTTTCATGCTATGTAATGTAATTTTTGGTTAATTGCTATTTACCGATTGCTAAATTGAAGATAATGATATTCAGCTGGTCTCTATAGTTATATGTAACTAGCTATAGAGATTTTCCTTAGAGCAGATGTTTTAGTGGTTTGACTCTAAGTTACATATTAAAAATATGTAATGCACATGAGACATAAAAACCAATTTTCTTTTAAGAACTGAGAATTAATAGAAAGAGATGTTAGCGAATGAAAATAAGAAATCTTGGTTTTTTTTTTTTTTTTTTCCCTTTTGAAAGAAAGCAGGGAGTTTGGAGATGTAAAACTTTGCATTTTACTCTTTGAACATTTTAATGTTAGTTGTACACAACTTGCCCATATTTTTGAGTACAGACATTATACTTCTCCAGTTTGCATCTGACAGTTTGCATGAGATGTCCTGAACATTTATGATTTAACTTATTTTGTTAATTCTAGTTCTTGAACTCTTTTGGGAACCCTATTAATCATGCATGCATTGATTTGTTTATTTGCAGCCTTTCCCCCCTCAAACCAGCTCCCTCTTTAGCGGTTCCCATTCTCCATCAAATCCTCCAACTGTAGGTCCTGTTGGTATTGGAAATGCTCCAAGGCACATAAATATCCATATACATGCTGGTGGGTGAAATCTGCTTCAACCTAGACTGTAATTTTACTTTTCTTTAAACTGAAGCAAAGTGACTTCTTTATTTAATAATTATCATTATTAGGCACCGCACTGGCACCTGTGGTTTCAGCAGTTGGTAACAGAACAAGCAATGGTGAAGGGGTGCAAGGAGAACGTGGTAATAGTGCTGGTTCTGGTTCAATCCGGGTTCTTCCTGTGCGAAATGTTATTGCTGCTGCTGTCCCAGCACGTGCTACTGGTGCAGCGTCCAGTGCACAATCCACTCCCACTGAGTCATCGCTATCCTCTGTTATTGCTGAAGTCAATTCAAGAATTATAAACTTTGTCAATAACATGCAGGGAGAGAACCAGGTTGCATCAGGTAGCTGGCAACTAATTGTTTTGAGATGCTAATAACTACAATGTCACTTGTTCATATGGTATCTCTGGTATTTAAGGTCAAAGCCGAATCTGATGTGGAATTCATGTTTTGCATCTGGTGCAGGTAATGATGTGGATACTCAACTGGCAAATAATATGGCTGCTAGTGGAGCTGGGGATTCTAGTGTTGCATTACAGGCAGACCTTCTTGAAACTGAAGAACAGAAGGTGTGCTTTGTTCACAATAAAATAATCTTATTAGCAACTATCTGTTTTGTGTCTCTGACCGGTACTCTGTTATTATTAATAATCAGTCACAACCTCAACACGCTGAAGGAAGTAACAATATCATGGTGAGTGGTGAGAGCTCAAAGGATGTATCAACTGGCACAGTTGGATGCCCTCCAAGTTCAAGTGGAGAACCCTCGGTTAAGTCAAAAGACCCTTCAGGAACTGTTCTGAGATCCAGCGTGGAAAATGCCAAACCTGTTCCACTTGGATTGGGGTTGGGGGGTTTGGAATGTAAGGTGTGTTGATCATTTCATACTTATATTCTAAATTATTAATGTTAATTTTATCGAAAATTATCATATGATATCATTGTGGTCAGAGGCGAGTTAAACAGACAAAATCGGCTCTCACTACTGGTGATAGTGGAACAACTAGCTCTTCTCTTGATCAGAACTTGAGTTCTAGAATGACTGGCCAACAGATTTTGCAGTCACTTGCATCTCGGAGCTCTTCAATGCATAGGGTGGAACATGATGCTTCCTCAAGTAATCCAGGTGTTCAGAGTAATAAATTGTCAGGAATACAAAGTTCTGATGATCAATTGGATGCTGCTAATGCTGTCTCTCAAGCTCTTCAAAGCCCTGTGTTAAATGGCTTATTGTCCAGGGTTTCAGAGCAGACTGGTGTTGGTTCACCTGATGTTTTTAGGAATATGTTGCAGCAACTCACTCAAAACCCACAAATCATGAGTACTGTCAGTCAACTAGCTCAGCAGGTTGATAGCCAGGATATTGGAAACATGTTTTCAGGATTGGGAGGAAGCGAAGGTGGTGGAATTGATCTCTCACAGATGGTCCAACAAATGATGCCTATTGTTTCTCAGGCTCTTAGTTGTGGGGCATCTGCACCTCCGCCATTCTCTGCTGTAGAACCTAAATCTCAGGTCCAGCATAATGGGAGGAAGTCAAGTGCAGCTGATAAACCTTGTGATCGAGATTTTCAGGTTTTTTTTTTTTTTTTTTGGGGATAATTTAGATTTTCAGGTTTTTTTTTTGTCATATAACAGGTAATTAGTGTGTAATAGTAAGAGATACTGACATGGACTGTTGTCCTATCTGCTATTTCTTCTAGGATAATATTCAACAAACGGCTGAGAGGATTGAGCAATCTAATTTGCCCGGGGATGTCTTCCATGCTGTTGCAGAAAATGCAGTTCAGGTATATGGCAATGGGAGGAATGCTGAAGAACTTCTGAATGAGTTGTGTGGTAACGAGGGTCTTGCCAAGGTAAATTCTCCAGGCCATGAGATTTTCATGCTTGCCATTGATGTCTTGTGTTTCCTACCAGTTAAAGCTGCTTGTGGTTAAAAAATTGCTTCCCTTTTGGGGAGAAAGAAAAGGGGTTAAGCAACATTGTCCTTTTAACTGCCTAATTGTTCGTGGTGATCATTGTATGGAAATTCATAATATTTTCCGGCATTGTCAGGAATATACAGAGATGCTACAGAGGGACGTACGTCAAAGATTTCAGGATAAATCTGAGAAGGATAAGAGCTAGCAGTTGACTCTGAAAATGAAAGTTACAGTAATTCGAAGTTCTGAAAGGTCTGCGGCTAATTGCTCCCGTGCTGGGGTTATTTTCCTTGTTTTGCTGCTCATACTAAGAATCCACGTATAAACTGAGGCATCTGGGGGCTTGTTTGATATGCTCTTTTAACTTATTAATTTAATTTGTTTGTTTTGAATGTTCCTTTTGGTTAATTGTGCGTCAAATTGGAATTATTATGAAGGTATATCGTGCTTTCCGTCAAATGATATAAGTTCCAGTGGGTTTTTTTTTTCTCTCTCTCTCTCTCTTTATGCTGGTTTCTTTCCTAGATACATCTCAACGAAAATGGAGACCTGTTTACGTCTCCTTTCAATTAAGTACTATTCTTCTATTAAATTAAGGTCAAACAGCTCTAGTGATCTTATTTTTAAATGAAGGGAGAAAAAGAATTTGTTAAAATTTAAATGCTCTACGATTGCATCGCAATAAATTTGAAAGGCAATTAATTTAAATCTTCAACTGGTGAGTTGCCCAAATTATTTGTTAAAATCCTTTAGAATAATTAGAATTACTCATATAAAATTTAAACGCATTAAAAAGAAACACACGTTAGTTGGGGACTTATGCTTTGTGTAGAAACGAAAGAAACGAGCACCGTCCTTTTTTGAGTTGGGACTTTTGGTCTTGGCATTGAACTAAGAAATTAAAATGAATGGACCTATTTGGGCGTTGGGCAAATTAGATGAGGTTGTCGGATTAAACCATGATAATTTCCCTTTTTTCACTCTACTTATCATCAAAGCTATGTCCATTTGGATAAAGCATTTTACTTCTTGTAGCTTTTCCTGTCAAGTTCATTCTCAATTTCAATTTTTTTTTCTGCTTTCAGATTCTTAAACCCTGCCTGAGATTTGTTCCTTGTCAAAAGCAGCCAAACTGTTAATCTGGCAAGAGGATGATGTCCTTTGTTTCAAGCTGAGATGTTTTTAATCTGTAAAATCACTTGTTAGATTTAACTGTTAGAAGTCAACTCGCTCAATTAGTCATTGCTCTTGCTGTGCATTCAAAAATTATAGTTATGGAGGATACCGTCTAAAAACTTACTAGGTCCATAATTGTGAAATGGAGCATTAAATCTTGATGGCAACCTGTCTTGTGCAACATCATCTCAACTCTCAAACAAGTTGGGACCTCCATGCATAAACAGCTATTTGCCATAAGGTTTTCCGTTCTTTAAAGCTGGAACGACTGGATGATGAGTGATTGAATAATTTGAGTTGCTACCTAGCTACTATGAGTCAGCGTCTCTTGTTTTCATTTTCATGGGGAAGAATTAGTACTTCTATATGCTTTCATAGTTGCCATCCCTATCAAGAATTTGAGTCGGGACTTTGTGGATGGTGTTTCGGTTGTTCAATATAATGAAGAAATTCAATGTTTCTATCTGTATAATGTTGATTGATGGTAGAAAAGGGGTGATGAATTTCATTTGTTTAGTTACTTTATATAGGCTTTTTATCTTAAAGGGTATTGAAATGTGGAACTGATGGTGTATTTGTAACGTGGTAGAATTATAAACTATGAGCAGAAAAGATGTCCGAACACCACATTGTGCACGGTGTGAGAATAGGGTGCTAGCCTTCCACGCCTTTTGCTGTAGCGGAGTTGACATCTGTACTTGATGCGTGCTGCCAAATTTGCACGTGTGTTCTTGGACTCTTGTCAATTTCGTTAGCCTATTGCAATGTTTGTATCCTGCACAGCTAACGTTATCCTGTCTGTATGGTATGAACATAACACACCTACTAATTGCGGCATCTAACGTTGTCCTGTCTGTATGGTATGAACATAAAACACCCACTAATTGCGGGTCGATTGGTCCTACCAGCCTGCTCTGATTAAAGAGCTATGATACACTTGGCTGTATGTTGCTTCCAGTTCACCAAAGCAAGCCGCAATGGTAGTTCATTGTCCGAAGTCACTAGAAAGGAAAAGTGAAAGTTATGGTGACATCTCTTTTTAGTGAGCAATCTTTAAAGTCTTTTTGTTTGAAAGGCGTAGCTAATCCTTTGGTTTATACGAATCAAACAAAGATTTGAAATGATCCATCAATTATAGCAATTTTGAAATGAGACAAATGTTAATAGTTTGAATCCAGTAATTTGTTGCCACAAGATTGTCGCCAGTCAGGGGTAAGTTTTCAAAATGAGTTTGCTGCTTTTTCCTTTCCTCCACTCAACCTTTTTTACCTGCTAACTTCAAACTCCCTTTACTCTCTTCTTCTGCAACTAAATTCAAATTTATTCTTTATTTTTGCTTTGATTGCTTTTTCTTCTAATTAAAGTTCATTTGAAAAAAAAAATGAAATTCTAGATATTCAAGAAATGCAAGGAATGCTCCTAGCTTGGAGGCTCCAGGTGCCATTTTATCTTAACTATTACTATTTACTATTACCAGCTAGTAGCTACTGCTAGATTATATAATCCAATTTGTTCAATTAGCTTAGCTGGCATTTTATTTTCTCGTTTCAATTTTCCTAACGGATAAATTTATTGTTCCTCGATTGAGGTTCACAGCAACTTGTTTCTGCTACAATAAGTAATACAATTCAGAAAATGAGGATAGCCCTTATGGTCTCTGGACAGAGTAAAACATTCTGTAAAATATATGAAAATTTGAACTAATAGTACAATTAACAGGCCGATTGGAAATCTTTCTACAGTCAATCATCGATTTTGTTGTTTGCCAGCTCTAACAATGTAGCCTCCATAACAACCATCAACTTAGTAGTAGTAAAGCAAGTCACGATACTACCCCTTGGTTGCTGCAATCCATGAACTGGTAAGGGACTCGTAGAGTTATCTTGTTGCCCTTTATTACAAATATAAATGCTTGTGAATAGTTTCAGAATCAGGAGTACGATAAATAGTTAATTCATGCTTAGGCAGAAGAAACCAACAAGGCCTTAGATTGGGTCATTCAAACAGAAACAGCAGTAAATAGAGGTAGAAAAGTAATGTTAGATCTTAAGGGGTCCCTTGCCTTTTCATTGCCTGTTAAACCTGATCTTCACATATATGCAAACAACAGAACAAAGCACCTACCAGCACCACCCACACCTCCACCTCCCATATTTTGAAAGATAACCCATGTGAGAGACAAACACATTCACAGTTCAACTAGTCAGCTAACATAAGGACCCCACCACCGACACTTCAATTTTTCTTTTCCCAAATTTTCCTTTTTTTTTTTTTTATACCATACGGCTTGGCTTAATTACACTTCCACACATCACTTCCCCTATACCGCACTTAAATATTTATTGCGCCATTCCTCATCATCACTGCTCCTTCTCCTCCCAACCTCTTATTTTAAAGTCTTTATCTTATTTTCTTCCCTTTCACATTCTCTACACAAGCAACTAAGACCCAAAAAAGGACGTCTCTCGTTTTCTTATTTACTTCCAAAATGCGGCTTCACTTGGAAGTGGCATTGTTTTATTCCATAGCTTCTCTTTTTGCCATTGCCGGGGCTGAAAATCCCTACAGATTCTTCAACTGGAATGTTACATATGGTGATATTTACCCTCTTGGCGTTCGTCAAACGGTGAGCCTTCAATAATCTGACTGGTTTTGATTGATATATAGTCGTTGTTGGTTTATATGAAAACGATGCTCATGATTAGTTTACCTTTTGCCAGGGTATTCTCATCAATGGGCAATTTCCAGGGCCTGATGTCCTCTCTGTTACCAATGACAATCTCATTATCAACGTGTTTAACAGCTTAAACGAGCCTTTTCTCCTTTCCTGGTAAGATCCAATCATCCGTTGTTTTCTCCACAAAGATTCCGCCGGAAACTTTTTACGCCCCCTTTCTTTTCAATAGACGAATCTACCCCCACTATTATCACTGCCATAGGGGGACATATCTGTAATCTATTGCCATTATTCTGACTACCATCTGCCTTGGTCGGTCACTATACAACTTACTTTTATTCCTTTAGATTTGTACATTATTGTCTTCTTTTCTACCTTGTTAAACGTGGGCGCTAGAGAAAACATCCACGTGTTGATGTCATGGCAGAGTTGGCTTTAATAGACCCGATTCATTTCATTTCATTTCTTAATTATTTTAAAGATTGTGCACGAGATTGTTCGTGGTATTAGTTGAGCACATGCGCAATTGTGCATCGTTCTCAGTGTTTGCTGTTAAGTGTATAACTAAACAAAGTCTCCGCTTTGCTGTAATTAGAAAGCGAATTAAGAGGGACAGCATTTAACTGTTGAATTAATTGGAAAAAGTTGAATCTAATGGTCGTTAATCTACCTAATTAAAACCCACTAATCATCCATGATCCGAGTGGTCCATTTTTTATTAGCTGTCTCCCACACCTAAAAGATATGGGAAGGTGCTCCGGTGGATTAGGAATTTTTGGATAGAGATATGGACCAAGAAAAAGGAAGATATTGGTCTTATCATTTTTATATATTTTGTTAATCCGGAAGTTATTTGACCCGTCTTAAAAATTCCTTTTTATATGTTCCTTTTATGAAATCTGACATACTAGTGGTAAAAAATTTTGCCTTGGCTAAAAGATTCATTTGCAACCAAAATGTCAGACTCTCAATCGAGTACTATTGGATAATTGTGTTCTTGTTGTTGAATTGAATTATTGGTCTATTGTAAAGTCGAAAAAGAGTAAAAAGCTGTACTGCTACAACATTTGGGTTGGAGTTTAGCATCTCAAAGCAGTGAACTTCATGAAAGATACAGTTAAAAATTGGCTCGTGAATCGTGATCAGACTGCACATTGTAAATCAGCAAATACTAGTTGTTGTAGTTCTTATTTGTAGCTTACGTCGAAACTGTAAAATGTAGGAACGGAATCCAACAGAGGAGGAATTCTTTTGAAGATGGTGTATATGGAACAACCTGCCCTATTCCACCAGGAAAGAACTTCACATACATTCTACAGGTCAAGGATCAAATAGGAAGCTTCTATTACTTCCCCTCTCTTGCATTCCACAAGGCCGCTGGTGGTTTTGGAGGGATCAGGATCCTTAGCCGATCACTAATTCCTGTCCCTTTCCCAGATCCTGCTGGTGATTACACTGTTCTTATTGGAGATTGGTACAAGTCCAATTACACGGTAATCATGCTACATTTTTCAAACCCTTGGTATATTGAAATTTGCTTGCTTTTAGGTTGAAAAATGCGTGCTATTCATAACTGTGGTGGTGTGCGGTATACAAAAATTTAACATGGTGGGATCACCGGGGATTGGAAATGTGGCGGCAACATAACGGCGTTGGATAAACGAAGCAAATGGGCCTTATTTGGCTATTCGATAATATGGCTCTTGTGCCTTTTGACACCTAGATTTCCTAACTGGCCTTTTCTTTGTCATTTCCTGCCGAGTTGAGACTTGGGAGTTTATTCTGATTTAAAAAGCAGAAAATATTGCTGCCAATTTATTATTTTCTCTCTCTCTCTCTCTCTCTCTCTCTCTCTCTCTCTCTCTCTCTTTTTTCCCTAATGATGAAGCATTACTCTCAAATCTCAATTATCCAAAAACATCAGCATATGATAGTTTCCTGGGATGCTAAACTTAGGTCCCATCCCATAGCTAATTAGATGCTCTTGTCATGCATTCAAACATGTAGCTCGCCATCTGGGCGCAGCGCATGTCAATAAAGTTTTCCTGAGCTCTGTTGGTGGGATAATTAATTTGAAGTATACCAATTGTTGCATAAGATTTTGATTTTATTGAAGTCTGATATATAGTCTAGTCGGGCTAATAAGAAATTAAATGTGCTTTTGCAGGATTTGAAAGCTCATCTGGATCGTGGTAAGAAGCTACCTTTCCCTGATGGAATACTTATCAATGGTCGGGGACCTGGGGGTGCCTTCTTCAATGTTCAACAAGGTAAATTGCCAGTCTAGTATTAAAAGTCAAATCCTTCTTCTGTTAAGTATTTTCTTCCTTTAGAAAAGGGAAAAATGTGATTCAAGCATAAACATGTTTTGCATCATCTATTGCAGGAAAAACATACAGGCTTAGGATATCAAATGTTGGATTGCAAAATTCTCTCAATTTCCGCATCCAGAACCACAGGTTGACGTTGGTAGAAGTGGAGGGAACACACACTTTGCAAACTACCTACTCTTCAATAGACCTTCACCTTGGTCAATCATGCTCTGTTTTATTTACAGCTGATCAGCCTGCACAAGACTATTACATTGCGGTCTCCACTCGCTTTACCAACCCGGTTCTCATCGGTACAGCAACTCTTCATTATAGCAATTCTGCTGGCCCTGTCTCTGGTCCTCCTCCTGGTGGACCTACCATCCAAATTGACTGGTCTTTGAACCAGGCCCGCTCTATCAGGTATATTCTCAACCAACATATGACAAGCTGCACAAGCTTTCTGGCAAACAACACGTTATTATGTGTTCTAATCTAATTATTCACATGTTTCTGTTTCAGGACAAACCTTACAGCAAGTGGACCAAGGCCTAATCCTCAGGGTTCATACCACTATGGTCTCATTAACACAACCAGAACCATCAGGCTTGCAAATTCTGCAGGGCAAGTTAATGGCAAGCAAAGATATGCAGTTAACAGTGTTTCCTTTGTTCCAGCGGACACTCCTCTGAAACTTGCCGACTATTTCAAAATTGGAGGAGTTTTTCGCATTGGAAGCATATCCGATAATCCTTATGGCGGATGGATATACCTTGACACTTCAGTTATGAATGCTGACTACAGGGCTTTTATTGAGATTATATTTCAGAACAATGAAGACATCGTACAGAGCTGGCATCTTGATGGCTACTCTTTCTTTGTTGTTGGGTAAGCACATCATTTCACCTAAATAATCTAAAAGACATAAGCTTGGAATTATGCTGTGCTGATATGTTGGTTTCTCAACCATTTTGAAATGCAGTATGGACGGAGGGCAATGGACAGCAGCTAGTAGGAAGGGATACAACCTGCGTGACGCAGTTTCACGTTGTACCACTCAGGTAACAAATCAACCATCTTTCTTCATTTAGATCATCTTAAAATTCACTTTTTCCAACCAAAAGAGATCGACCAAGAAGAACAAGATAGTAATATTTGATAGGCGGTGAATGCAGGTGTATCCTAAATCGTGGACTGCCGTTTATGTGGCACTTGACAACGTAGGAATGTGGAACTTGAGGTCGGAGTATTGGGCAAGACAGTACCTTGGACAACAGTTTTACTTGCGTGTATACACAACCTCAACATCACTCAGGGATGAATACCCGATCCCCAAGAATGCACTCCTCTGCGGTAGGGCAAGCGGCCGAAGCACTCGACCCCTGTAAGTTAGCATAGAATAAAGAATCCAGAGTTGGGTAGAGAAAACCTGTCCAACTTAGGTCGATGAAGATGATTGAAGAGTAGAATTTTACCTCCTAATCTTTTTACTTGGGCCATTAAATTGTGCTTATGTGAACTTCGTAGCATGTATTAGTAGACCTCAGCTCGAGGTCGCAAATTCTTTCTTACTATAGATTTGTATTCCCATTGTTCTAATTGTTCAAGTTTCAACCATTTATTATTATTTGAGACAGCATTGTTATGTTTTTCTTAATCAAAAAAATTTAAGCTTTGGCAAGAATTCAGCCAAATTTTTTTGTTTCTAATGGAATATGGGCTTCAACTTTCAAAATTGTTGATAGAACTATTTTGAAATGCAAGGAGCATGGAAAATTCAACAAAGTTAAAAGAGCAGCACTTGAACCAAAATGAAACAATCTCCCGTTTCCAATTTATATCAAGGATTCAAAACTTTCGCAAAGACATCGGATACTAGAATTCAAATGTCAAATTTGTGGAGATTTTGAGGTTTCAATTTCTGTTCTTTTTTTTTTTTTTAATTTAAATACTAGTAAGTAGGAACATACAAAAGAATGTTGAGTGTTAGTTAAACTAATCTTGTAATAAGATCACATATATTTTTTTTTAGGAAGGGAAGTTCAATGTACATATGTTTTTGAGTTGTAATAAAAGTGAAAAATAAATTAATTAATTAAAATAACACAACACCGAGAAAATTTCATGGGATTAGTGATTCTGGATCCTATGTTAAGCTTGAACAATGTTGAATTTTGGTCCAAGTTATGGATCATGCACAAACTTCATGGGCCTTTTAGGACTTAGACTAAAAGCCCTTCAAGAGAATTTCATTAATTTTCATGTCCCTCTCTTCTTCTTAATTCGCTAGTCTTCACTTAAGGCCTTCAGATACAAATTGAATAAATATGGTAATCCCCTCAGATCATGCTTATCACATCTTAAGAATTATCCAATAATACAATCCCACGTGTAATCTTAAACCGCTGACACAGATTAGTAAAAAAAAGTCAAATCAATCTGCGGATACCAAAAACACAGAATCCAAAACCCTGGTGAAACATCTTATTTTGTAACAATCACAGTTTATACTAGAGCAAGCAAAGGCCCGAGGCAAAACCCAAACCCTGCTTCTATTTCCTCTTCTCGGCGGGATCTCAATTTCAAATTCTCTTCATCGCGCATAAGATCAGGTAATAACTTAGTCATTTCAACGATTTCTAGGGTTTCTGAAACTTACGGCTTTATTTCGCTTTTCACTTTCATTTTTCGCGGTTATGTTACTGTTTTATTCTGATTAGTTGTGAAATGAGGGAATGAAGTGAAAAATGCTGAACGTAACATTTTATCGGCTCATTATACAAATTTAGGGTTTATTCAGCAGGATTTGGGGTTCGATTGTTTTTATATGTTTCGTTTTTCGTTGTTGGATTAAAGATACTGCTTTTTTCTTTTTCTTGATTCAGGTGTTTATTTGAGCACCAAAGCTCGAGCTACTCTCGTCCACGTTCTTTTCCATGGCGGTGCGTTATTTGCCTACTATTACCTGTTTTCAGTTAGGTAGATTTATTATTTTTTTATACTTTCTTTTGAAGTTTTTTTTTTTTTTTTTTTGCTTATGCTTTGCTTGGTAAATGTGATAGATTGGAAAAATTCTTAAAGATGACGCTAGTGAAGAGAAGGGGGAGCGTGCCCGAATGGTATGTCAATTTAATTTATAATTTATATACATTTAATGTTGATAATATGGTTTGAAGGAAAAAAAAATACTACTTGTTTGGAATTCTGTGATTATAAATTTATTGCATTCTTGCTATTTTTGGTATCTTTTTTTCGATAACACATGATGTGCGTGCTCTTTATCAGGCATCATTTGTTGGGGTAATTGCAATTACTGACTTGGTTAAGACAACCCTCGGACCAAAGGGAATGGTAAGTTTTTCTCATTGCGTATACAAATTAAAAGACTCTAGTAACAGTTCTTCTCTACTTTAAATTGTTGACTTTGTTGTTGGTGAAATTATCTGGCAGGATAAAATTTTACAGTCAACAGGCAGAGGACATGAAGTCACTGTTACAAATGATGGAGCTACCATCTTAAAGTCCCTGCATATTGACAACCCAGCTGCAGAAGTCTTAATCGGTATCCTTATAATGGTTTTCATTTTATTGACTACACTTTATGTGTAAAATGGTTGATTTTTTGCAACATTTTAAAAACTTGAATGATTTTGATGAAAATTTTTTTGGTGCACAAGACTACATCATACATGATGGAACTGTGAATGGTTCAGTGAGCCATGCTACCATAATCATTGGTTTTATGTGGAAATATTTTTTATATTAGTAGATTATAACCTTAATACAAAATTCAGACATATCAAAAGTTCAAGATGATGAGGTTGGTGATGGGACAACTTCTGTTGTTGTTCTGGCTGGAGAGCTTTTAAGGGAGGCAGAAAAGCTAGTGGCAGCCAAGATTCATCCCATGACTATAATATCAGGTTCTTTTGGCCTCATGTACCTTCCTATTATTCTTCTTTTATGCTACTTCTTGCATGTCATGATTCAACCCAGTTTTAATTTTTTATAATATATATTTTTTCTTTCCACTAAATGGTGCATATATATTTTGAGGTTTGTATGTGGTATTATTCCAATGGCATTAAACTGCATTGAATTTAAGCTTGTTATCTAGGTTCCGTATCTCTACAGCATTAGCAAAGGTGTCAGGGATGTTAACAGTGTCATTCTTTTGTGTAATATTTTCTGATTTGCTTCTATCATATAAAGATGAACATGAGATTTAACTGTTAAATTTTAATACTTCACTCTGTACTCCTGATAAGGTTAAACTTTTCAGCATCATATTTTCTATATTATTTGCTCAAAATTTGTTTCTGAACTTAATTGCAGCATCATTGCATTTGTATCTAGAGTATATTTGGTTTTATCTCTTATCTTGTATTTTGTTGATGTGCCAATTGCCAAATAAGTTCTGTTTCTAAGTTTATAACAATGTATGCTGGTTTTATAGGTTATTGCATGCCAGCTGAATGTGCTCATAATGCTTTGTTACAGAGGGTTGTGGATAACAAAGAGAATGCAGGTGAATATTGTTGGATATGAGTACATTCATTTTATTTGTGTATGGATGTATGATACCTCTATGGCTCTATGTTTTGTATTATTTCCCTAATGTTTCAGTTTTTGTTACTTCCTCATCGAACTTTCTTTAATGTCTTTGACTTGATAAAATCTGTAATTGACTTCTTCTTGCCATTAGAATTTGTCTCTACCCTATTGTAGTTGTTTCTTATGCACCTGGCATTTCTGAATTTTGCAGAGAAATTTAAGTCAGATTTGATGAAAATTGCAATGACTACATTGAGTTCCAAAATTCTTTCTCAGGATAAGGAGCATTTTGCACAACTTGCTGTGGATGCTGTTATGAGGTTAAAGGTGATCATTTTTCTGCATCTAACATTTCAATATTAAAGATAAGTGTTTCAACGCAGTTTGATTTGGGAATTGTGTTGAGAATTCCCCTTTCATCTGTTCTATTACTTCAATTGATTTTTTTTTTCCATTTTTCCTTATCAAGTTTGTATTGCATGCTATTTGAAACTGCAGGGGAGCACAAATTTAGAGGCCATCCAAATTATCAAGAAGCCTGGAGGATCTTTGAAGGATTCTTTCTTAGATGAGGGGTGAGTTCTTATGAGCCTCTCATCCCCTTCAATGTTAATTTAATAGTTTTCTGGTGGGATTGGCTAGGTCTCTAGTATGTCAGCCTTTCCCATATTGTGATTTTTATTGATTTAAACTTAAAATTTATGCTCTCAGATTTATTCTTGACAAGAAAATAGGGCTTGGACAGCCAAAACGAATAGAGAATGCTAAGATTTTGGTTGCGAATACTGCAATGGATACTGATAAAGTGAAGATATATGGTGCACGTGTTTGTGTTGATTCAATGTCTAAGGTTGCTGAAATTGAGGGGGCAGAGAAGGAAAAGATGAGAGAAAAGGTCCAAAAGATCATAGCACACGGGATTAACTGCTTTGTTAACAGGCAATTGATTTACAATTTCCCTGAAGAACTCTTTGCAAATGCAGGCATACTTGCAATCGAGCATGCTGATTTTGATGGGATAGAGCGTCTGTTTTTGGTAACAGGTGGTGAACTTGCTTCAACCTTTGATAACCCAGAGTCAATTAAGCTTGGACATTGCAAGCTTATTGAAGAAATTATGATTGGTGAGGACAAGTTAATCCACTTTTCCGGTGTTGAAATGGGACAGGCTTGTACTGTTGTGTTGAGAGGTGCAAGGTATAGTATTGCAGTATCTCCTCTAGCTCTCCTTGATATTGTTGCATTGTCCATGAAATGCTACTGTTTATGCCAGCCATCATGTGCTGGATGAAGCTGAAAGGTCTCTGCATGATGCCTTGTGCGTACTGTCTCAGACAGTCAATGATACTAGGGTATTGCTTGGAGGTGGATGGCCTGAGATGGTAATGGCAAAGGAAGTGGATGACCTAGCAAGGAAGACTCCTGGGAAGAAGTCTCATGCTATTGAAGCTTTCTCACGAGCGCTTGTAGCCATCCCAACAATTATTGCTGACAATGCTGGTCTGGACAGTGCAGACTTGGTATCTCAGCTTCGGGTGGAGCACCACAAGGAGGGATGCAATGCAGGGATTGATGTCATCTCTGGATCTGTAAGTGCTGAAATTGAATTATTTTAAAAATCAAATTAGAATCTAATGAATCTATTATGTATTGTTTGTTTGAAGATGGCTTGGATTTGTTTCTTTGGCAGGTGCATATATGTCCTATCTATAATTTCTTGTTGCATTTTAAAAGATATTACCCTTAGATTATAGTACACCTGCTAAGATATGCTTAGCACGGCTACAGACTAATGGCTCATGAACTTTTTATAAAGAGATTCAATATCTTGGGAGTAATAATCCTAATGTATAGATTCAAATACTGATATGGTTTATGGCCTATTCGGTAGAGAAGACAGGGTATGATTGTATTCCACTAAACAACATCGAATCCTTATAGTTTTTCTTCCTTGCTGTGGCCAATTTGTTTGTTTCAACAGGTTGGAGATATGGCTGAGCTAGGAATCTCTGAATCCTTCAAAGTCAAGCTAGCTGTATTGCTCTCTGCAACTGAGGCTGCTGAGATGATTCTTAAAGTTGACGAAATCATTTCATGTGGTCCAAGGAGGAGAGAAGACAGAATGTGAAATGACATTGTCAAGGCACATTTGTTGTAATTCATAACTATCTTGGCATTTGCTTCTTGCTGTTGCTGCAGTATGGTTGAATCCTAGAACTGAAGTTTTGACTGAAAATGAAAGCAAACTGACGTCTTTCTGATTCCGTAATCGTACTATTAATGATAAATTTTCTATAGCTGGTTGAGTTGCATTTTTTTTTCTTCTGCTTTTTATTACTTTTATGCTGAAAAGATAATAAAGATCATAAAGAATTGGAAGCCATCATTCCAATTAAGTAACTAGTCAAAGCATTCCCCAACAAACATAAAGAAGTGGATTGTATTATTACATCCTCGGAAACCAA